ATCGCTAGCCACGCATGGCCAGCCTCCGCCGTTGCTAGACGTGGCAGGACAGCGCAGCTCATTCATATCCACCTATGGATGTCCTTAGCGCCACGCTGGTGGATGTCCACGAGGCATGACACTCACGATGATGGCCTATCTCATGGAATACTTCTACCTCGGCATCTTCTTCGGTAGCTCTCGGTTATGTTAGGGCTTGTCCTCTGCTTTGTCTTCAAGCCCATCCGCCGCTCCGGCCGGCGGACCCTCGTCTGGCCTCTCCTCGTCTACGGGTATGACCTCCCGCTCATCTTTGGGCTCGTCTTCTGGCTGGCGTGTAGGTTGTAGCTCGTGGTTGTGCTGTGAGAAGCGTGCTTCTGATCGATATTCATATTCCCAATTTCCATACTTTTTTTTCTTTAACCACGTAGCCACTGTAACCAAGCGCTGTCCTCTAGCATAGAGAGCTGACCTGAACGGTTAGCCACTGTAACCCACTAACGGACCAGCACCTGGAAGAGCATAGCCCACTAGTGCTGGCCCGAATGGGTGCCAGCACAAAATTCTGGGCGCCAAGGTCTTAGGCCTCTTTTGGTAATAACTGCGCTGGCTGACATACGCAAATATGGGTAGCAGCTAGGCCACGAAATACGAGCCAACAATTCATCTGGCGAATTCTTCAACGAGGTAAGAAAGGAAGAATTGGGATATTGCACCAAGGACAGAGATACAGGGTACTCATCTGATGATGAATGCTTTCATTTTAAAAGCGAACTGCCACCGCACGTTTTCCGTTTATTTATGCACTAAAAAGTCCTTAGAAACTGGATTCAGGTCCCTGCACGAGAACAGGGAGCAGTCAACAGTTATCAGTAGTCGGGTGCGAAAACGATTTATTTAAATGGAGTTCAAATACGAACAACGCCGCATGTCATTGCAATCGAACAAGGCCCCCATCAGCTTCCTTCTTTATTTTCTAAACTATGTCGAACTTTCAAACGGAGGAGAGCACAGCCCAAAGCGCTGACATTGTCCGAGCTGCGGCTTGTGCAATCGGTCCAGTGGCGAGTAGGTTGGTCAAAAGCGACGCAAAAGAAGATTTCACAAAAAATATAGAGACAGTATACGATTTCTGGGTACCGTTGTTGATAACCGCGACAATGCCCCCGGACATTTCGCACACCGACCATCGCATTGCAGCCGCTATGCAACACTTAGACGGAGTCATCGCCGACCGGCAGCGGGCTAAGTCCCGTGTTGGTTCCGTACTATTGGCAAGACTCTTGTCAACTTTGCAGGAAAGAATCCGGCTTCTCCGTCAGGGAGGTGGTTTGTTCGCGAAAAGAAAGTGCAGTAGCATTGTCATTGACAGCTATGCGACCGCGCGAAATCTGCCACTAGATAAGGCGTCTCGATCTCGGACGCTGTATCGTATCAGAATGAGCAGACGGTGGAGTGAGCTAGCTGGAAACTATCCGTTACTTCTGGGTGCGCTATCAGACGAAGCCGAAGGAATTATGTCAGTACGGCCTTCGTATTACAGTTCAGCCTTTCCATTAACACACAGCAGCGGAAATCTCAATATGTCTAATCAAGATTTGCGCAATCTCGCGACCCAATTGCACACCTTGTTTCCTCCGGAACTAACAGCGGCAGCGAACCGCATGGAACAGTTCGCAGAAGAACTGAGGAATCTGGACGGGCTACGAGACCATGCAGGAGGACAGGGTAGCCAAGAGCAAGAGTCACTAGCCAAAGCGGCACAAAGTATGAAGCAACTGAGACAGGGGCATTTGAGTCAGCTAAGGGGAATACTACTTTCTTAAATAAACCATAATTTTGAACTCCAATACGGTACTGTTATTGCTTGACGTGACAAGATGAGTTAAAGTAAAAATGTTGGGGTAGAGGTAGGGGTATTAGTAGGGGTGGAGGTGCCAAATTGTAGTGGGTACTAGTATTGGCAGAGGTAGGGGTACACCGGGAAATTGTAGCGGTACTGGAACCAAGGGTGTGCTCATCTGGGCAGTCAACCCACCACCTACAACTACCGCTTACTAACTCTTCCGTTTACTACCTCTACCACTACCTCTCTCTACCACTACATCTACCACCTCTACCACTCACTACCTCCACCACTACTCCACCACTCACTACCTCCACCACTACCTCCACCACTCCCTACATCTGCGACTACCTTTTCTATACCACCCATTCGACTACTTTTTCCACATCATGAACTCTACCTCTTTTGCTGTTTACAGCTACATGCTCTTATGTAAAATATGTTCGTACATGTACTGCGTTGGACTACTACCTACGTAGAATCTGGGTACTGATTTTAGTGTCGCGAATGTGCCACAAATGCATCAGAGCGATTGGCTGTATATGTGCCTTTCAGCGTGTGCGCCCTTCCGTATGTGCCTTCCGCAGATGAGTACCACTGTCAGTACTTACCAATGATATGCTCAGCACTGGCTGGAGAAACTACAAATCGGGCGCAAGTGAACTTGGCGTTAGCTCTGGCAAAGGCGAGCCCATGGCAAGCGCCGTGGCGCATCGGTGCCGCCGAATTTGCTTGTTGTGATCAGGGGGTGTAAGGCCAATCTTCAGCTAAGGCCGGGTCAGCCACAGGCGCTTGGCTCTTCCGCTTTAGTAAGGCGGACTAGATCTGATAACTGCGGACAGCTACCAGTTCGCAGCTCTGTGGAACATACCTATTCCTTCATGGCGGTTGTTGGACCAAAAACTGTTTAGAGCTGGTGGTAGCGTTTCCTGTGCCAAGGCAAGAACAGCATCAAGCAACTTATAATAGCTCTAACATCCCAGTATTTCCCAACCGAATTAACGCAGTCCTACACCAAACTCTTAAAATGACAACTACGCAATTGCGACGTGATAGAACAGGCGAGAACTTTGCCAGAGCGACATATCGCTTGATGAGGAGATGCGATGAACTAAGCCGCCGTTACGGCGCCGACTTTTACGTAGCAGTGCGCCGACAACATCGGCACTACGACTACTGCTCAACGAAGGATTGTCATTTTCCAACACGCATCAACATGGTACGCTCGATATTTCTTTTATAAAGCCATTTACAGAAAGTGACGCTGATTGCTCCAGGAAACGGTCTATCCTCGAGCTATTAGGCGGACGCCCGAGGATTTTAGCCAAATTCAGGACAGGGGCTCAAGCAATATATAGATCGAGTGACAATAATGAGCGACGAGGAGAAGAGGCTGAAAAATGGCATGGCAACATCATTTCCATCTACATTACATTTTTATGTGATGCAGCCGAAACCGCAATATGGTTTATCAAACCCTGCAACCGAGGTGGCCATGTAATAAATAGAGGATAATAAAGTGCTATTTTCGTGCCTGCTGTTTACTTCTTGATCTATCCATGAATACCAGGAAAGTAAAATCGAAAGAGAAATCGTTGATTTTTTTTAAGATTCTTCAAGTAATCAAACTATTAGGACATATTTCTGCGAATTATCGCTAGGCATAGCGCCACTCCCAGTGAAAGACAATTCGGGGTGCACCGCATAAGCGAAACCGATCGGACAATGTACTCATTGAGCCGTCGTGCCGATTTTATTCAATTTATCTAGGTACGTTTTGCCAGTCGCTCTTCACCATAGGCCACTGGTCAACAAATAAGCCAAGCAATCGTCGTCATACAGTCCAAATCATCGGGAACGGAACTCATGAATACGGGTTCAACACTGAATGTTCTGTCATCCCATTCGGTCTGAGCCTTTACAGTCACGTAGTCAATACTGTATGTATCGATCATGAACTCAATTTATTTTTGTATGGTTCGCCGCCCGCTCGTCACCCCCAAGTCTCCAACCGTCCATCGCGGTACTCTATGTTACCACCTTCTTCATACGATACGAAAAATAGAAGGTGGGGGATATTTTGATACTTCTCATGCTATTATTAGCAAAGAAGGACCAAAACCATAGAAAAATTGGAAAACAGCCTCAATTCTTGTCAGCCCTATTGATTTAGACTGGTAAAGTCAGGTAGGGGTGCTATTTTACTGGTAGAGATCAGTTTCTCGTCAACACTGTGAGCGAAGTAGACTGGTAAAGTCAGGTTGGGGTGCTATTTTACTGGTAAACAGACGCGGAGACGTGTTATTACTGGTCAAAAGCAGTCCCTTTTCTGCACTCTGTCGGCTGTAGACCGGTAAACAGACGTAGAGACGCGATATTACTGGTAGAAAGAAGTCTACTCTGTCCGCCGTAGACTGGTAAACAGACGCCGAGTCACAATGCTACTGGTAAAGTCTGTTTTCAGCACTCTGTCTGCTGTAGACAGGTATACAGACGTCGAGACGCAGTATTACTGGTAAAGTCTCTTTTGAGGAGCCTCCTTGTCTTCAAAACAAGAATTTGCATTGAGCTAAGCGCCGGCGCAAGCTTGAAGAGTGCAGAACGACGGCTTTGCTGATCTGTGTTTTGAAACTAGGTTCCACCCTATTTAATGGAGCCAACAGGGTCTGTCCGCTGTTCCCAGCCCCAGCCTGCGGTGGGTTCCGCTGGATGGCTAGCGCTTGCGGCTACTTCCCCATTCCCCATTGGGGGACGGCTAGGCTGTGGTAGCCCTGCACCCTACTACGACCTCTTTCGCGGGCTTGCTTTATGAGAGGAAGAATGCGTACGAAGAAGGATCAAAAGAATCGATGAGTAACGAGAGCAACTACGACAAACTATGTGCAAGAGAGGTCAATTTAGAGAACTGACAATATCAGCGACTCTCAGGTTAGGCCGCATCCACTGTTTGTTCATCAAGGTGGTGTTTTAATTACGCCCCCCCGCCCCCGCATTGCCCTGCAACCTGTCGCCCTGCCTACTCAGTAGGCAGAACTCACCGGCTAGCAGGACGCATCAAGTTTATTTACCCGGACGAACCATAAGAGCAATTAATTGGTAAGGCATATTATGTAGTACAGTACCGCCCAATAGTTAAATGAGAAATTATTAAATAAAACAAAAATTAGCAACTCGATCACGACTTAGCAACGGCCCTCATTGCGGCTTTCTTCTGCTGTCGTCCTTTGCGTTTCTTTTCAAGCCGTTCCGCTTGCCGCTGTCTCCTTTTTGCGACTTGGGCCGAATCTCTGAGGCTCACTCCATGGATTTCCTCAACATGAACTCGAAAATGGTCCACGTGATCAAACTTCTCTTGTCTGCATTTCGGGTGGCCACACCAAATGGTTTCACCACGTCGCGCGGCGGCCTCTCGGCGGGCCAGGTGCGTGTCGTCAAAATGGTCGTTGAGCACAGGCAGACGGCAATACTTAAATCTTCGCGCCTCATCCGGCATCTGCTCATCGCCAATGCAGTCTGGGCACTGCGTTGGCCCCATGAGAAGTGGGAAAGGATCCAGCACAAGATCCGGCTCAGATAAGGTATCGCTTCCAGGTGACTCTTGCTTGATGAAAGCCTCCACCGTGGCTGGACGTTGCGTGCGGCTAGTTCTGCCAGTCTCCTTCTTATCGCATAAAGCTACCATCAAGTCGATGGCTTCAACTCGGCGTTGAAATAGGTCCTCCTCTGTCCAGCCATCAGGCTGCAAGCAAAGAATTTCGGCTAGTCTTGCCCGTTCCGGTATAGTGAGGTCTATTGCGGGCTGCTCATATTCCTCTTCCATCTCCCCGCGGGCTTGGGCCTCAATGTCCCAGGTGGGACGATTGTAGAAATAGTATTCGCGATATTCCTTCACGACCCTCCTTTCGTTCTGTGTCCTCTTATTTCTGATGTCGTCTGTGAGTACTCGGATCCTGTCTTCATGCTCACTACCAGCAACTCGATACCGTCCCTGCTTGAGCACCGCACGCTCCTCCTCCCACTTCACAATCTCAGGGTCGGGCGGCTGATTTGCCCATACCTTCTCAGGCACCATATCCCTTACCGCACGAGGGTCGCGGGTCAAGCTTACGTGGGCAAACATGCGGAACAGTTGGCTTTGCTTTTCCTCCTCCAAGAAGGCGTTCTGGAGATCAAAGTTGGCAATTTCATTCAGATACGCACTGAAAAATGTTTTGAATCCAGGTTCATGCCGCATCATCTGGTCGCGGACCGAATCCGTTGCATCACCTAGTAAGAATGATTTAGCATCAAAGATTTTGGTGGCATGTGTGAGCTCGGACATACCATTTGCGGCGTTCGAAGCACCTCTCCGAGCGAATCTAAATCTAGGCGTCCAAGCCTTCCTTCTCGTGGCCGGATTCGAGGCTCTGTCGGCCCATGTCATAATTCAGCTTGGAGTAGAGCATCGCCTCGTCTTCAGACAGCGTTGCACCGCTGATGCGGCGAAAAACGGGGACTTTCAATTTCTCCTTCTTCCAGCGGATTGGCATGCAATCTCGGGGACCCCAAACATCCCTCGAGAGGAGACTATACGCGTCGGTTAGGCAAGCCGCATCGAACGCATGGTCATGTAGGGCCAGTGCCACGATGACCATGATCGCGTCAAATATTAGTTTCCTTGTAGGCGTGAAGAAAAAAATCGTCCTAACACGCAATTAGCAGTCGACCAGACGGTAGTGAGGTGGCATACGGGATGGAACACACGGCTTTGGCTTGTTGTCTGCTCCTTTGTGGTGGATAAACTTGATGGCCATGGCCAATACGGCCTTCCCCGTAGCAGGGTGCCGCACAAGCATCAAAAGAATGTCCTCATAGCAGAGAGCTTTGGGGCGGCCTCTCTTGATTGTCTCCTGTAGAAGCATCTTGTTGAGCTCCACGGATTGCTTGTCTAGCGTTTGATCCGCGCTGTCATCGTTTTCCACTTCTTGTATGACTCTCTTGCCAAAGAGAATCTCTCGAGAGCCATCCTTCGGACCTTTTCTCTCGCCATCCACAAGTTCTGCAGGTCGGGCCCCAGTATAACATAGGAGCTGGTAGCATCCAGTCAACTGGATCCGATGACGCCCGAGGCTGAATGCACTCGTGTCGTACGCGATGTTGAATGTCAGGATGACTCGGAGACTGTCGACATTGAGGACCGGCTTGCCGTCGATGTTCGGCGCTCGGAGATTGAAGCGATGGATCAAAACATTGCGATGGTACTAGGCTGCGGTTAACAGGCATGATTGGGTGTTCCAGCTCGGAGGGCTTCGATACCTTGTAGACTTCCTTCGCATCGTTTCTATCCATGTAACGGCCTGTAACAGTCGTGTAGAGTTGCTGGAATTGGCGAATATACTCTTCTGACGTACCCCACGACCGGACGTTGTAGTTTCCGCAGACGAAGAGGAAAAAGTCCATCGTAGTGGCACGGGTCAGGTTCACAAGCGTCGCTCGCCAGTCGCCGACCTCCTTCTCAACGCAGTAGCTGCACCCACGTTAGCTGCGGGCTCCAAGATGGGCTTGAAGGCGATCTTGGCGTACCGTTTCCATCTTCCAAAGATGCCGGAGACGTTGATCTCTGTTTCAGCAGAGTACTTGGGCTTCACGAATCGAACAGTGCTAAGACACTCCCGGTTCGCAGCATGCTGCTCGGCCGAGAGTGGCGCAGGCTTAGGTGCTCTTTCAAGCTGCTTGGCTCTTTGAAACTGGAGGAACTCGAGGTGGTGGTTGTCCGGAGCGTTTGCATGGTGTGTGCGGGCGACAGCGCTTGGCATGGTGGAAGGATCGTTTCTGTTGATCTGGTGCGGAGGTGGCCTGGGTTGGAGGCCACGACGAACTTGGGATGATGGAAGACAGGAGAAGCGAACGAAAACGAGGGCGCCGCCGCTCTATATACTGTGGTGCCGGCCATTCTGGTGGTAAAGGCCACCAGAATACGTGGGCGACAAAAATAGGACAACACGCAACAACGGAAAACGAGAATTGACGTAGTAGGCTCCTTCCTGTCTGTGGTTGGGGGGAGGGCGTGGGTCGGTTGCGTAGGCAAGACCGCCAGAGGTACACAGTACCTGACAGGGGTGGGCCTGGAGCGGGAGTCCCTCACTGCTGTGGCCGCTAAAAACGGCGGCAAAACCCGCCAGATTTGGTGGCTCTAGCAGCGCATCTTGCATTTAAAAAGTAATCTTATATATTCTAAATAATATTCCTAGTTAGTTTATAAATATATTAAAACTGTAACTTAGTGTTTAGACCTCTTTATATAACTATATAATATAGTTTATAGATTAGAACCTAAAACTCTAAGTTTTAAATAAGAATATTATTAATTATATATTATAGTATCTTTAGTTAACTATAAATAATAACTATATTACTAAGTACTCTTAAAATACTTCTATAAATATAGTAAGAACTAAGTTATATACTAGTTAAAATATAGTTTTATTATTAATACACTTATTTCTATATTATATTATTCTACTATAGTTAGCTAATAGACTTATACTATTAACCCTAAACCTAACTTTTAAAGTGGGTCTAAACTAAACCCTCCCTAGTGCTAATTATAAACTACTACTATACTACTAAACATTAATAATTTAAACACTAATATATAGACTAGGCTAGCTAAACTGTACCTATTTTTAACGTTTAATAACCTATAAATAATACTTAAGCCTTTATTAAACGCTTTTATTAACTATAGAGGTGTTATTTTTAGTACTTTAAGTAGTAGCTTACTTATTAATAGATATACTATATAGATAGACTATAATCTTACTATTTATTAGTCTAAATAAATATTATTTTCTATTATTCTAATCTCTTTTATAATAGTATAATACTTAAGAAAAATCCTCTTTTTAACTAGTAAAGAATTCTTATTATTAGAGTGTTTTCTAAGCTTAGTCTTATAAACTCTTTTAATAGTACTAAAGATAGTTATATTAAGAGGTTAAAGAATATAAGAACTATAAGCTAGTTAGAATAGAAAGTATATATTATTATAATAATATTCAAATAAGAAGGTGTTTATATAATAACTATTATAGTTATTAATAATAAAAAGTCTTTATTTAGAGGCTTTTATTAGCTTTATCTTAAGGATAAAGATTCTTTTAAGTTAATTAATAGTAATAGTATTACTTATTTAGCTCTTTAAAGAACCCTAGAAATACTAGTCTTTAAAGGCTCCTAATTTAATAAGAAACTATTATTATTAAATATTCTTTCTATTAAAAAGAACTAATAGATTTAGCTTCTTCTTTATAGTTAAAATACACTTAAAGATTATACTTTAAAAACACTAGCTAGACTATCTCTTTAGAGTAATTCTCTTCTATAATAACTTAAGTACTAGACTATTCTCTTAAAGCCCTATTATAAGCCCTATTTTATTTATATTATATTAATTACTTAAGAGTATATTAATAATCTATTTAATACTAAGAAGTTTAAAGAAAGTTAAAATTATATAAGTTAAAGCCTTATTTAAATATTAGAAATTAAAGTGCTTACCTCTAAGTGTTTTAACCTCTAGATTATACTTTAAAAAGCCTTAGAACTAGTTAATTCTAATATTATAATTATTACTATTAGCTTAGTAGAGACTTAAAATAATCTTCTAGACTTACTAGTAAGTAGGGGGGTTACTAAGATAATCCTAAATTAGGATCTAAGAAATAAAATATAATTCTTAAGTAACTTAAAGCTATTATAATAGCTTAAAAGCCTCTTTCTATAATATTATACTTTTAATATAATACTATAGTATTCTCTAAAGTATAGACTAGTAATTTACTTCCTTTTATATACTTATACTACTAATTACGTCTTTAATAGTATTTTAAAGGTTTTATTTAGTATATTAACTTATAATAATATAATAGTAAAAAAAATAATAATTATTAGATTTTTTAGGCGTTAAAAAACGTGATTCTAATAATGTAGGTTTATCGTTAAAAAGGAAGAGGTTAGGTGGCTCAAAAGTGGGTGTGGCTCACAAGTGGGTGGCCGACGTTAGTGGGTGGTGGGTGGCCTTGCAGTAGTGGGTGGCCTTACAGTACCGGGGTGGCCTTCCAGCAGCGGGCGGTAATAAGGCCCTGATGCTGAGTTCTGGCTGCAGTCTGTTTACTCCGTATGCTACTGCACTGTCACTGGCGTGTGGAGTGACCATGCAGCTCTAATTGGTCGAAGACAGGAGGCTTTGACGCTTAGGCAAGCCAGGTGGCAGACATAGTTATGTGTTCGATTCCTCGTTCGCCATTTCAAAGGAATCAACAGCGGGGTGACACTCGGAAGGAAAGCGGAACGGTTATTAGCGGACGCTAGAATGCGTCTGGCAACGACTGGATTAGTAAGCCTCAATCGCAGTCAACCCTGGCAACATTTACCTTCCATGCCTCCTCGCGGCACATGTCGTCCTTACGGTACATGCTTTCCAGTCACACTCGTCCAACTTCATCATCTTGTCACTCCTCGTTCCCGCTCACGTCCAGCGTTTTCGACAATAACCCGGCATGGAGCAAGTGCTGCTCGGCAATAACACCGTTGGGTTCACGCCCCTGCCAGGCCTCCTCCCCATTCCGCTGTCGTCCAGCCTCACATGCAACTCCAGCTCAAGCTTCAGCTCTAGCTCCAGCTCTAGCCCTAGCTCCAGCTCCTCGTATCGCCAACCATTCTGCGTCTCGCCCGAAGGCTGGGGACCCCTGAGTGGCAATGCTTTCTACCTGACACCATGCTTCGTCGACGGTGCAATTGGCATCGTATCGATATGTGCCATTATCTGCGGCCTCGGCGCCGTCACCTACCTCCTAAGGCGTGGCATTGTCGGTAAAGCCCTGGTTGGAAAGTGGCATTTTGCTGCAAAATTGGTATGCTGGTTCCCCCAGCGGCCGTGGACGCGAGACTGGAGAGAATTTGGCTAACCAAGAGCGACACCAAGGTCACTGTTGCCGCAGTCTTCGGACTGACGGTCACTCAAACGATCAACGCGGCTCTTAGAGAGCCAGAGCATTTCCTTCAGGATGTGTCATTTTGGTCACTCGTCGCAGTATCGACATCCCTGTTCGTCATCCTCTGGGCGCATTGGCTCGAAAACTTCCGCTCTTTGTGCGAAAACGCCGTCGTTTTGACATACTGGCTTTTTTTTGTGCTCGTGTATACCTTCAAAGCTATCACGCTTGCTCTGGATCCAGCAGTTGGACCTCGCTCGTCAGAGTTCATCTTCCATTGCACAGCATGGGCGCTTGGAGCAGTGGAGCTGTTTCTTCAGTTCATTGTGGCTGAGCTACTACTGAAACCGCGCTTTGAAGGTGACAGTGGCAGAAGCCCTTTGGAATTTGCAAATATCTTCTCTGCTTTAATGTTTACATGGCTGTCGCCATTCATGACCTTTGGATACAGCAACATCATCACAGTCAAGAACTTGCCTGCTCTCCACCTAGACGACACCTCGAATACGTGTTACCATAGACTTGAGGCCGCTTGGGTTCGGGAGGAGAAGAATAGTAAAATGCCATCGATTTGGATCGCTTTAGCCAGGTCGTACGGTGCCGAATTCGCCATTTGTGGCATCACAGAGTTCCTCAACAACATATTTTGGGTTTTTCAGCCGCTCGCTCTCCAAAATCTCATCCAATGGGTAGCTTCCAGAACTACGGGAGATCCGCAGCCGTATACCCGGGGCGCGTTTTGGGCTTTCATAATGTTTTTAGTGTCGTTCCTGAAGACAGTGGTCAGTATTCAGAGCCGCTGTTATTCTGATACATTCTAGCCTAAGGCTAATCTTTTTATTAGGCTTTTCAAAAGAAACTATGTCAAACGATCACTGTCGCAACCCATGTTGAGACAGCACTCAAGGTGAAGCTTTATCACAAGTCGATCAAACTGTCTGGTCAAGCTCGCAGCACAAAATCGACCGGCGATATCATCAATGTCATGAGTGTTGATGTGGCAAAGGTATCTGACATGGTCGCAGGTGCCCATTCGGTCTGGTCTCTGGCTTTGCAAATAATTTTGGCACTAGTTCTACTATACCGTTTGCTTGGATGGGCTATGTTGGCCGGTGTTGCGCTTATGATTGCGCTAAGCCCTGTACATGGGCTCGTTGTCGTTTTCTACAAGCGATTTCAGGTCAGATACATGAAAGCTAAGGACAACCGGACGAGACTCATGAGTGGAATTATTGATAATATGAAAGGTGAGATACAGGAACCCTGAAATCTCCTCGCAGTGCTCACCAGTTCCGCAGCCATCAAATTGTATGTTTGGGACTCCGTTTATGAGGAAAAATTGCGCTGTGTGCGCCATGACGAAGAACTGAAGGCAATGCAAATTCAATCAATCGTGGCCGGCTCATTCACCATTCTCTTCTCTATGCCGAGCTATCTGATCGCCGCTCTCAGCTTTGGTATCTACGTACTCATCCAGTCGAAATTGCTCACCACCGATATCGTGTTCACTTCGCTTGCTGTCTTCAACATGCTCAAGTCCCCTTTATCTCAACTTCCAAATCTAGTCTCAACCATGACGGAAGGTGCCGTGTCATTATACAGATGCGTGGAAATTTTCACAGCAGAAGAGCTCCAGCCTGATGCTGTCACCATTGAAGAGAAACCTGCATCCCCGTCAGGTGGACTGGTTATAGTCAAGGATGCCGCCTTCACACCTGGAAGCTCTGAAAGCAAAGAGCTCATCAGCATTCCGGACTTCTTATGTCACCAAAACGAGTTTTGCTGTATCATCGGCTCAGTCGGCTGTGGCAAATCTTCGT